GACAAAAAGCAGTGAGTAAAACATGAAAATGGTGCCCTCATGAACCTTACATTCTAGTGAAAAGAGATTAACAACAACCATAATCAATAAGTAAATTATATAGCTTACGGGCTGGGCGTGGTAGCTCATACCTATAATCCTAGCACTTTGGGAGTGGGGGCGGGAGGCGGATCACCTGAGGTCAGGAGTTCAAGATCAGTCTGGTCAACATGGCAAAACCCCGTCTCTACTAAAAATACAAAAATTAGCCAGGCCTGGTGGCACGCGCCTGTAATCACAGCTACTCAAGAGGCTGAGGAAGGAGAATTGCTTTAACCAGGGAGGCGGAGGTTGCAGTGAGCCGAGACCTCACCATTGTACTCTACCCTGGTCGATAAGAGCGAAACTCCATCTCAAAACAAAAAAATTATGTATCTTATTTATATGTTAGAAAATTATAAGTGCTGTGGAGAAAAGTGAGAAGTGCTGGGGGTGGGTTGCAAATGGATGGTCAGGGTTGATAGACCTCAATAAGAGTTTTTTTTTTTTTTTTTTTGGTAGAGATGAGGTCTTGCTATATTGCCCAGGTTGTATCGAACTACAAAGTGCTGGATTACAGGCACAAGCCACCATGTCCGGCTGAGAAAGTGTTAAACAAATACTAGAAAGCTGGGCACAGTGGCTTGCACCTGTAGTCCCAGCTACTAGGAAGGCTGAGATGGGAGGATTGTTTGAGCTTGGGAGGCTGAGCTGTAGGGAGCTGTGATGCCACCACTGCAATTCAGCCTGGGTGACAGAGTGAGACCCTGTCTCTCAAACACACACTAGGAGAGGGCCAAGGAGTTATCCAGGTGGCTACCTGAGGAAGAAAGCGTTCCAGCAGAACAGCTGGTACAGAGGCCATCAGGTGGAACCACGACTCATGTGTGAGGAACAACAAGGAGCCCCTTGTGGCCGTAGCAGGCAGGATAAATGAGGAACAGGTTTTAGGAATGAAGGCTTCAGAGGAAATGGAGCAGCGATGGGCAGAGGAAAGAGATCATATTGGGTTTTGTTATTCACTTTATTCTGAATTACATGGGAAGCCATAGGAGGGTTCTGAGGAAAGGAGTGCCAGAATATAACTTAAATTTTCTTTTCTTTTTTTTTTTTTTTTTGAGACAGAGTCTTGCTCTGTCACCCAGGCTGGAGTGCAGTGCTGTGATCTTGGCTCACTGCAACCTCCACCTCCTGGGTTCAAGCAATTCTCCTGCCTCACCCTCCCAAGTAGCTGGGATTACAGGCGCTCACCACCACGCCTGGCTAATTTTTGTATTTTTAGTAGAGATGGGGTTTCACCATGTTGGCCAGGCTGGTCTCAAACTCTTGACCTCAGATGATCCACCTGCCTAGGCCTCTTAAAGTTCAGGGATTACAGGCGTGAGCCACTGCTCCTAGCCTTTATTGTCCTTTTTAAAAAATGAAGGCCAGGTCAGGCATAGCGGCTCATTCCTGTAATCCCAGCACTTTGGGAGGCCGAGGTGGGCGATTCACGAGGTCAGGAGTTCGAGACCAGCCTGGCGAAAGTGGTGAAACCCGGTCTCTACTAAAAATACAAAAAATTTAGCCAGGCGTGGTGGCAGGTGCCTGTTTCCCAGCTACTCAAGAGGCTGAGGCAGGAGAATCGCTTGAACCCAGGAGGCGGGGGTTGCAGTGAGCCGACACCACGCCAGTGCACTCCAGCCTGGGCGACAGAGTGGGACTCAGTCTCAAAAAAAAAAAAGAAAAAAGAAAAAAAATTAAGGTCACCTTAGTGGGTATGAAGTGGTATCTAATTGTGGTTTTGATTTGTTTCCTAATGACAATGAACAGTCTTCATGTGCTTTTTAGACCGTTGCATATCTTGGAGACATGTCTAAAGTCCTTTGTCCATTTTTAAATTAGATTGTTGTTTTGTTGAGTTGTAGGAGTTCTTCGAATATTCTGGCTACTAGATTCTTACATGGCTTGCAGATATTTTCTCTCTAGGTTGTCTTTTAACTCTATTAATAGTGTCCTTTAAAGCATAAGAGATGTTAATTTTGATGAAGTCCAATTTATTTTTATTTCTTTCATTGACTGTGCTTTTTGGTCATAACTAAGAAACCTTTGCAGAATCCAAGGTCGTGAAGACTTTTGCCTGTTTTCTGCTGTGAGTTTGCGTTTTGGCTCTCATGTTTAAGTCTGATCCATTCAGGGTTAGTTTTTGTATCTAGTGTGAGGTGAGGGTCTGACCTCATACTTTTGCACGTGACTGTCCCATTGTCTCAGCTCTATCTGTTGGAGAAATGGTTCTTTTCCCATTGAATGGCCTAGGTACCCTTGTTGAAAATCGACTGAACCATAGATATGTGGATTTCTTTCTGGACTCTCAATTCTATTCCACTGATCTATGTTTATGCCACTACTTTACTCCTTTATTACTGTCGCTTTGTACTAAATTTGTAGGGTGTTTTTTTGTTTTGTTTTGTTTTGTTTTGTTTTTGACACGGTCTCACTCTGTTGCCCAGGGTGGGATGCAGTGGCATGATCATGGCTCACTGCAGCCTTGACCTCCCCGGCTCAAGCTCAAGTCCCCCACAAGTAGCTGGGACTACAGGCGCATGCCACCATGCCCAGCTAATTTTTTCTATTTTTTAGTGGAGACAGGATTTCGCCATGTTGCCCAAGCTAGTCTTGAACTCCTGAGCTCCTGCCTGTCTTAGCATCCCAGAGTACTAGGATTACAGGTGTGAACCACTGAGCCAAGCCGGCACAGGAAATTAAGGCTTGACTTAATATCTCTAAGTAGGATTTGGACAGGACAAGAGAGGAAAGAGATTTCAAATAATAAAATTAACATGTAATCACAAGGAGGAAAAAAAGCTTTGCCTCTATGAAGCTCGCATTCTAGTAGGAGAAACATTAACAATAAGTAAATGTTCGTGCCTTAGAAAGGCGTTAAGTGTGGCCATGTGTGATGGTTCAAGCCTGTAATCCCAGCACTTTGGGAGGCTGAGGCAGGCGGATCACCTGAGGTCAGCAGTTTGAGACCAGCCTGGCCAGCATGGTGAAACCCCCGTCTCTAATAATACAAAAATTAGCCAGATGTGGTGGCACATGCCTGTAATCCCAGCTACTAGGCAGGCTGAGGCAGGAGAATTGCTTGAGCCTGGGAGGTAGAGGTTGTTGCAGTGAGCGGAGATCACGCCATTGCATTCCAACCTGGGCAACAGAGCGAGACTCTCTCAGGGAAAAAAAAGAAAGCATAAGTGCTATGGAAAATATAAATACCAAAAATATAATCAAATTGGCACAGTGGCTCATGCCTGTAACCCCAGCTACTCAGAAGGCTGAGGTGGGAGGACTGCTTGATGCCAGGAGTTCTCAAGACCAGCCTGGGCAACAGAATGAGACCCAATCTCTAAAAAGATGAAAACATCATCAGAGAGAAAGTATAGATTACTACAACGGAATGACAGTCAGCCCATCAACTTCTCTACAGCAACCAAAAGTGCTAGAAGAAAAATAGAAAAATATCTTTAAAGCACTGAGAGAAAAATAACTATCACCCTTGAATTGTATGTCCTAGGAAACGTTCATTCAAGAAAGAAAAAAATGAAAGACCTCTTTAGGCAAACAACAATTGAAAAAATTACCCAACAACTTTCAGTCAAGAAACTACACAGGGCTGAAGGTGTAGTGGCTCACTCTGTGTAATCCCAGGACTTTGGGAGGCCAAGGTGGGAAAATCATTTGGGGCCAGGAGTTCAACACCAACCTTGGCAACGTAGTGAGAGCCCTATCTCTACAAAAAGAAAAGGAGGGAAAAAAAGAAAAGAAACTACACAGGATATAATGCCTGCCTGCCTGCCTGCCTGCCTGCCTCCCTCCCTCCCTCCCTCCCTCCCTCCCTCCCTTCCTTCCCTCCCTCCCTCTTTCTCTCTTTCTTTCTTTTCGAGACAGTTTGCTTCTGTTGCCCAGGCTGGCGTGCAGTCGCACGATCTCAGCTCACTGCAATTTCTGCCCCCCCGGGTTCAAGTGATTCTCTTGCCTCAGTCTCCCGGGTAGCTGAGATTATAGGCATGTGCCACCACGCCTGGCTAAGTTTTGTATTTTTAGTAAGATGGGGTTTCTCCATGATGGCTAGGTTGGTCTCCAACTCCTGCTAGTGATCCACCTGCCTTGGCCTCCCAAAGTGCTGGGATTACAGGTATGAGCCACTGCGCCCGGCCCTACACAGGATATAATTTCAAAAGGAGAAACATGACTATTGAACAGTGAAGGAAGCCAGGTTTGGTGGCTTATGCCTGTAATTCCAGCACTTTGGGAGACCACGATAGGAGGATTGCTTGAGGCCAGGAGTTTGAGACCAGCCTGGGCAACATAGTGAGATCTCCATGTCTATTAAAAATCATTCATAAATTGGTGGCTCACGCCTGTAATCCCAGCACTTTGGGAGGCCGAGGCGGGCAGATCACGAAGTCAGGAGATCGAGACCCTCCTGGCTAACACGGTGAAACCCCGTCTCTACTGAAAATACAAAAAATTAGCCGGGCGTGGTGGCGGGCGCCTGCAGTCCCAGCTACTCAGGAGGCTGAGGCGGGAGAATGGCGTGAACCCGGAAGGCGGAGCTTGCAGTGAGCCGAGATCATGCCACTGCACTCCAGCCTGGGTGACAGAGTGAGACTCTGTCTCAAAAAAAAAAAAAAAAAAATTCATAAATTAAAAAATAAGTCAAACCATATAGAAAGTTATGAGTTGAATAGTAAGTCCCTTATACATCTTTCAAAATATTTTGTTTCATTATACTTTTCGTTATATCTATTTGTGTGACTTAACTATTTCATAACTAATTGAAAATAAAAGTCATCTTGTCCAACCTCTCCATTAGCTACTCACAGTGGGAGATCTCTCCTTGATAACTACTTGCTTTCACCTAATGGGAAATTAGGTCTGACAAGGGTAACCTTGGGTTATCATAATGACGTTTCTCTCAGTTCCACTCCATGCTGTTCCCCTAGGCTACCAACCTGGCTCCTGCAGACCCCAATGGCAAAGCAGACCCTTATGTGGTGGTGAGCGCTGGCCGGGAGCGGCAGGACACCAAGGAACGCTACATCCCCAAGCAGCTCAACCCCATCTTTGGAGAGTGAGGCTGGGCCCTGTGGGGTGGAAACGGGGTAGCTGGAGGAGCATCCAGCCCTGTGGCCTTGTGGCAGCTGGCCTAGGGATGGCAAGGGAATGGACGGGGCTGCTGACAATGCCACCCCCTCCCCAGACCACCTCCTGGAGCATGAAAGTGACCTCAGCCCCTCTCCCTCCTTGCCAGGATCCTGGAGCTAAGCATCTCTCTCCCAGCTGAGACGGAGCTGACGGTGGCCATATTTGATCATGACCTCGTGGGTTCTGACGACCTCATCGGGGAGACCCACATTGATCTGGAAAACCGATTCTATAGCCACCACAGAGCAAACTGTGGGCTGGCCTCCCAGTATGACGTGTGGGTCTGGCAGGGCCCACAGGAGCCATTCTAACTTTCTGGCCAAACACATTCAAGCTCACTTTCCCTTTTGTGTCTCCAGATCCTATGATTTCATGGAAGGGGGGGACCCTCCCACCCAATGCCACTGCCAACCAAGACATAGCTCAGTGGTCAAGACTTGGGCTTGGGGGTCGGGATCCTGTAACGAATGTCACTTGACCTGTTTTTTTTTTTCTTTTTTTTTTTTGAAATGGAGTCTCGCTCTGTCTCCCGGACTGGAGTGCAGTGACACTATCTCGGCTGATTGCAACCTCTGCCTCCCAGGTTCAAGCGATTCTCCTGCCTCAGCCTCCCCAGTAGCTGGGATTACAGGCGTGGGCCACCATGCCCAGCTAATTTTTGTAGTTTTAGTAGAGACAGGGTTTCACCATGTTGGCCAGGCTGGTCTTGAACCCCTGACCTCAAGTGATCCGCCCACTTCTGCCTCCCAAAGTGCTAGTATTACAGGTGTGAGCCACCACACCAGGCCCACTTAACCTCTTCGAGTCTCAGTTTTCTCATCTGCAAAACAGAGGTAATAAGATCAGTATCTTCTTAATAGAAGCACCTGGACTACATTTTTGATTTTCGATTTTCACTGTTATTATAAACGAGGACTAACCTGTCCCCCATTGGGAGTTTTGAACCTAGACCTCATGTCTTCATGATGTCACCCCTGCCCCAGGCTCAGGTGTGTCCTTACACCAGCCCCAGCTGATGCATCTTCCTTTTCTGCCTGCAGGGATGGTTACAATGCCTGGCGTGATGCGTTCCGGCCTTCGCAGATCCTGGCGGGGCTGTGCCAACGCTGTGGCCTCCCTGCCCCTGAATACCGAGCCGGTGCTGTCAAGGTGGGCAGCAAAGTCTTTCTGACACCGCCGGAGACCCTGCCCCCAGGTACCATCCCCTTTCTGTTAAAGCAAGATGTTGGTAGAACAAGGTACAGGAGGCCCAGGTGCCCAGTCTTGTGTGCTCCCCAAAATAACCCATTGTTTCAGCAGTTAGAGGTGAATTTGGTTGAGTAAGGATGAGGTTCTTGGGTGTTAGGGAGCAAACAGTCTTCACTGGTGAGCGTGAGATCCCCCAAAGAGCCAAAGTGGACCTGTAACTAATCAAGTTCCCAGAACGCAGAGGTGCCATACAGCGTCCCATGTAACAGAATGTGGCTGCAGAATTAAATGGCTGGAGGCTTATTCTTTTTATTTTTATTTTTATTTTTGAGACAGGATATTGCTCCGTCACCCAGGCTGGAGTGCAGCCATCTCAGCTCACTGCAGCCTGGACCTCCCAGGCTCAAGTGATCCTCCCACCTCAGCCCCCCGAGTAACTGGGATTACAGGTGTGCACCATCATGCCTGCCTGTTTCTTTCTTTTTCTTTTGGTAGAGATGAGGTTTCGCCATGTTACTCAGGCTGGTCTCAAACTCCTGGACTCAAGCGATCCTCCCACCTTGGCCTCCAAAAGTGCTGGGATTACAGGCATGAGCCACTGCGCCTGCTCTGGTGGCTTATTCTCTAAATAGGGTCTAGGCAAAGGTGGCAGTACCTCCAATCCCACTGTCCCCTGACTGCTGGCTTTTCACTGGGCAAAAAATTACAGCAGCTTCCCCCACTTTTTGTGCATTTCAGAGCTGCTCTCCTAGCCCACAGGGCTTTATCCGACAGAGTGGCTTCCCCAGCTTAGAGCTTCTGTGGCGGGGGAGGGAGGGAGGAGACGTGGAAACTGTGTGGAACCCTAAGCTCACACACCTCTTGTTTCAGGCAGCAGTGGCTCCAAGGTGAGTGGGGACCCTGAAGAGGCCCAGGCATTGCTTGTGTTGAGGCGCTGGCAGGAAATGCCGGGTTTTGGGATCCAGCTGGTACCCGAGCATGTAGAAACACGGCCTCTCTACCATCCCCGTAGCCCCGGGCTGCTGCAGGTGAGGAGGGCTCAGCACCCGGGCCAGAATCACAAGACTCTCGGAATCCCAGGATACCCACCCAATCCTGGGCCCTGGGCCCCCAGGACAGCCTTTCCCTAAGGTGTCCACCTAGGTGCCACCTGCAGCTCCTGACTACGGCTCCTTTGCTGGTCCCTGTGTCCCTGCTTGTCCTGGACCTCCCTCCTGGACCACACCCTCACCCCTGACCCTAGTCCTACAGGATCCCCACCCCTGGGCACCAAGACTCAGATGTGGGGTTCCTAACCTGACCCCCTGCAGATCCCTAAGATCTGGAACTTGGAACACCAGATATTACTTTTAATCTCAACTTCCCCTTCTGGAACCTCATTTTTTTTTCTTTTTTGAAATGGGGTCTCACTCTGTTGCCCAGGCTGGAGTGCAGTTCCGTGACTCGGTTCACTGCAGCCTCCGCCTCTCAGGCTCAAGTGATCCTCCCACCTCAGCCTCAGGGGTAGCTGGGATTACAGGCGTCTGCTACCAAACCCGGCTAATTTTTGTATTTTTTGTAGAGACAGGGTTGCGTCATGTTGCCCAGGCTGGCCTCAAACTCCTGAGCTCAAGCCATCTATCCTCCATGGACTCCCAAAGTGCTGGGATTATAGGCGTGAGCCACTGCACCCAGCCTGGACCTCATCCTTGAACCCCTAATCTAACCTTGATCCTGGAACTCACACTTCAGACTCCACCTTTATCCTCATCCCCCAGGATCTGCCTGACCCTGTCATTTTGACCCTAGCTCTTTTCTCCACCTGGGGACAAGGCACAGCCTATGGCCACAGGGCTGTCAGGGAAGGTTGGGAGCCTGACAAGACCCTCCAGCCTGGTCCTGTCCCCCCAGGGATCTCTCCACATGTGGATTGACATCTTTCCTCAAGATGTGCCTGCCCCACCCCCAGTTGACATCAAGCCTCGGCAGCCGGTCAGGTGAGAGTTCTGTCACCTCCTCCCAAGGCGGGTACACGTCTTTGTCTACCTGTACAAGGGTCCTCTGAAAACCTGGGTCCCAGTGAAGCAGGCAGAGGCTGCTAATCACAGGCTTTCCAGTTAGGTACCATTAAATTCCCTTTTATTCATAAGCCATTGCAAGTTGAGTGTCTCTTGTAAACTGACTCCAAGTACCTTTTGGTAAGCCCCCTTCCCACCTGAGCTCATCTGAGCGGAGTTCTGTGTGGGGCACAGCCATGTCACACAGGCTGAAGGCAGAGGCTCGGATACCAGCAGCCTGTCCCTTTCTGCCTCTGGGCTCTGCTTTCCTTGGTGTCACTCTCAGGGAGCCCTCTGCAGTCTGGGGGCAAGGTGGCATCTAACAGTGTGAGGCTTACATCTTAGCCAGGCCACCTGAGCGGAAACAAACACCTCTTTCCCAGTTACAGCAAAAGCCTCAGGGCTGACTCAGTAGACCAGCTTGGGTCAAATGCTGTGCCCTGAACCAATCATTGTGGCCAGGGGGCTGTAATACTGGAATCGGCCAGTTCAGGGATGTCTCCCCTACCCTGCCCAGCCAGGGAGGGAGGGGCCTGCCCCGCCAGAATCCCATAGATTTACCGTGGTGGTGGGGAGGGGTGGTTGGGGCGGGGGCGGGTCACCAGCAGAAAATCACGGTGCTGTCAACAAATGAGGGGAAGTTGATGCTGGGCTGGAGAAAACAGCTACCCAGGCAACCCCATGGCAGCCAAGGACAGGGCTACATGAGGGTAGGGTCCAGAGTGTCACAGCCCTCCTGTCCCTCAGGCACTGTACGCTTACTCTCGTCCCCCATCTCTCATCCTTCCTCTTCTCCCTGCAGACTGGCTTTCTCTGTTCACTTTTCTACATCCCCAGACTCTGGCTTGTAGTGGCTCCAGCTCTGCATCTGATGCCACACCATGCAGTGGTGCAGGGTCCTGATTCCAAATTCACAGGAAGGAGAACCTTGCTGGCCCAGCAGACCATTCCTGATGTCATCTGCTGTGGCCAGGGTGGTCAGTGACACCTGGGGCTGTCCCTTCATGGGACCACAGGCATTGGATTCCCCTGCTGGGCACACAGGTGCCCAGTGACTGTCAGTGGGCCAGGCCCAGGTCCCTCCTGTTTCATGCAGCCTCTTTCAGGGCCCCGCTCGAGAGTCTGAAGCCACCCCCTAATGTGCCCCGCAGCTATGAGCTCAGAGTTGTCATCTGGAACACGGAAGACGTGGTTCTGGATGACGTGAATCCACTCACCGGAGAGATGTCGAGTGACATCTATGTGAAGAGGTAGCCTGCAGGCCAGGTGGGGCAATGGCAGTGCACTAAGGGGGGACTGTAAATGGGTGTGGGCCCTCGGGCTGAGTCCAGAGCCCGGTCCCCAGGCCCTCCGTGGTGCTGAGAGCTGGGTGAGGAGTGGGTTCTCCGTGTAGCTCCAGCCCTGACACTCATCCGACCCGGACCCAGCTGGGTGAAGGGGCTGGAGCATGACAAGCAGGAGACAGATGTTCACTTCAACTCCCTGACTGGGGAGGGGAACTTCAATTGGCGCTTTGTGTTCCGCTTCGACTACCTGCCCACGGAGCGGGAGGTAAGCGTCCGGCGCCGGCCTGGACCCTTCGCCTTGGAGGAGGCCGAGTTTCGGCAGCCCGCAGTGCTGGTCCTGCAGGTCTGGGACTATGACCGCATCTCCACCAACGACTTCCTTGGTATTGCACTGCTTAGCCTTCCCCACCCTCAGCCCCTGCCTCCAGCCCTCACCTCTGTCCCCTGGTTCCCTACTCTGACCCAATCTTGAATCAGGATTTTGGACCCGAGGTCTGAAACCTTTGCTTTCTGGCCTAATTACTGAGTTAATTAAGCCCAGACCACAGTAACCTCCATTCCCACCAAGTCTGATTCAACTCTGATTTGACCCTAGCTTGTCACCCTGACACTGACTCTACAGCCTTTGCTCCTTGGCACTCTGATCCCAACCCTTGGCCCTCTTCCACTGGGGAGTGGCAATGGGTACACCGCTGGGCTGTGGTTTGGGTGGTTCATAACTGTGGCCTGACCACACACTGCAACTTTCAGATGCCCCAACTTACAACCTTGGTGTGTTGCCTCCTCACCCCTGGCACAATGAGACTTTGATCCCATGCCTAACCCGGTGTGCTCTGGACTTGCAGGATCCCTGGAGTTGCAGCTACCGGACATGGTGCGTGGGGCCCGGGGCCCCGAGCTCTGCTCTGTGCGGCTGGCCCGTGATGGGGCCGGGCCGAGATGCAATCTGTTTCGCTGCCGCCGCCTGCGAGGCTGGTGGCCGGTAGTGAAGCTGAAGGAGGCAGAGGACGTGGAGCGGGAGGCGCAGGAGGCTCAGGCTAGCAAGAAGCGAAAGCAGAGGAGGAGGAAGGGCCGGCCAGAAGACCTGGAGTTCACAGACATGGGTGGCAATGTGTACATCCTCACGGTGGGTGCCCGTGGCGGAGGCCAGGCTGAGCTGGGGCCTGAGGCGGCCCTGTGCTCCCGGTGATGCAGGAGTGTCTTTTTTAGGGCAAGGTAGAGGCAGAGTTTGAGCTGCTGACCGTGGAGGAGGCTGAGAAACGGCCGGTGGGGAAGGGGCGGAAGGAGCCAGAGCCTCTGGAGAAACCCAGGTGAGTCAGGCACGGGGGCCGGGGCCACAGCCTGGGCCAATGGGGGAGGCGGGGGTGCCCAAAGGGCCACCTTCTCATCCTGACACCACCCTTCTCCTCAACAGCCGCCCCAAAACTTCCTTCAACTGGTTTGTGAACCCGCTGAAGACCTTTGTCTTCTTCATCTGGCGCCGGTACTGGCGCATCCTGGTGCTGCTGCTGCTACTGGCGCTGCTCACCGTCTTCCTCCTCCTGGTCTTCTACACCATCCCTGGCCAGATCAGCCAGGTCATCTTCCGTCCCCTCCACAAGTGACTCTCACTGACCTTGGACACTCACCCAGGGTGCCAACCCTTCAACGCCTGCTCCTGGAAGTCTTTCTTGCCAACGTGAGCTACCCTAGAGTCCAGTGCTTCCTCTGAATAAACCTATCACAGCCACTGACCCGTGGTCACGTGCTGTCCAAGGCTGGCGCCTCCAGGTGGCAGAGAACAGATGTTCTTGAGTGGCCTCAGGTGCTGGGGGCTTGCTTGAAGAATGCACAGGGATAGAAGGCTGCCCCCATCCCCACTGCAGGGAAGAAAAGGGCCCCGGCAGCTGAGTTATGACACCCTCTGAGCAACTCCACCACGGCTCCTGCTCCTGCTGGCGGCCACGTCCCTCTCACCTCATCTGTTTCTGGCTTCCACTGCCCAGGACAGCTAAGGACCTGACAGACTCCATTAACCTGTCCATTCCTCACCATCCCTGAGAGAGGCTTCCATCAGAGCTGGATCTCGGGTCTGACTCCAGAGGTTCTGCTGTCACTCCCTGACTTCGCTTCCTTTCCCCTTTCTCTTGCTTTTCCCCTACCAGTCTTAGATCAACATTCGAGACATGATCTGATAAACTGACTGGTTGTTTAGGTACCCTTCCTCCCTGGGCCATAGACTGGTGAGGTCGCTGGGCCCTGCTTCTCCACATGTAGCCAGAGTTCTAATGAGAAACCCTGATTAGGCCCCAAGCCAGGGGTCTGGTGCTGGCCCTGCTCCAGAATGGCCACTGCCACCTTCCCACCTTGATGTTCAGTTTTGCTTCCACCTAGGAGACTGCAAAGGACCTGGAGGGACTCCTCTCTGCAGTGAGAGCCAGCGCAGGCGGGGTTTGGCACAGAGTGGGATCAGTGAGTGTGACAGGATCAGGTGGACTGAGCCCAGGGTGGTGGAGAGCGACCCCAGCTTTACCCATCAATGAAGTGGCAAGCCCCAATCTGCACCCAAGGCCCTGAATTAGTGGCCTGGGGGCCATGGTGGCTCCAGGAAGCTCACGCTAAAAAGGTCCAAGTGAGCCCTGGGGCTGAACCCGAGAGGTCTGAGGACCACAGTGGAGGGAGGGACCCAGGACTGTGGGCTGGACATGAGTCTGGTTTGAATAAACCCCAGTCAGTCAACTAGGCGATGCCCATGTGGGGGCTCCTGAGGGCACTGGGCCCCGATCCATCAGTCACGATTGCCTTCAATGAGTGGCCAGGATGAGGCTCTAGCCATGGCAAGGATCACACGGAGACCAGTGAGTACTATCACAATCAATAGATTTATCAACCTGGGGCTGGGGCTGACTGAGGAGGTGGAGGGTGGCGGAGGCTGGGGGACAACTACAAGCCAGGGAGAGACAGGAGACAGAGGAAGCGCTGAGGGGTGACTACGTTGTCTTCCCTAGATCAATTTTCTTCTGAATGGCTCGTGCTGAGTGGTAGATGAGTGAATCGATGAGTCCAGCCACTGGGAGAGAGACAAGGGCTGGCACTGGCCCAGTGGGGGCCTTGGCTTTTGACGCTGAGAGTCTTGTCACTTAACTGGCCAGGCCAGCATCTGCCCCTTCACCCCCAACCAAACCTGGGGCACCCAGGCTTTACTCTCCCCACCCTACAGCTCACAGACACCCTGGGCCTCTTACCCGTGAACATGCCCCCAATGATGGCGCACACGCCTGTCAGGAAGTGAGTGAAGGACCTGGTGGAGGGAGCGGGTGGGCTCAGCAGGCACACTCCTCCCTCAGGCTCAGGCCCCCAGAGGCTGCTCTGCCCCTGCCCTCACCTGTGCTTCTCTGTCAGCTTCACCATCATCGGCGAGAGCTCATAGAGGACGAAGACTCCGGGAAGGCCCTGGTCGCCCAACAGCCCATTGGCGACCTTCTCATGTCTGGTCACAGAGAACTGATTTGTCCTCAGCACCTGGGGTGGGAGGGGAGCCTAGGCCAGGGCTAGGGCTAGGACCTGGCTCCAGCCACCATCAGCCCCACCCCTGCTCCTTCCCCTTTCCTGCTGAGCCTTGACCGTGCAGGGAGAAAACATGGCACTGTGCTGGTGGCCTGCACTGCAAGGCCTGGCCTGCCAGACCCCCTCTCCTAGCCTTGGCCTCAGCCTTCCCCTCCAGATGCCAGCTCTTTATAGTTTACCTATCCTGGCAGCATTTAGTGGGTGTTCTCATAGGGGTCCAGGCTGAGAAGCAACTCTCCAAAGACGCACCACCAAGGCTGAACTGACTTCCTCTGCCCTCAGTCCCTTGCATCCTGCCACTCTGCTGAGATGCTGCTCCACAGGCCATGGCAGCCTCAGGAGCGGGTACACAGAGGCTTGCCCTGCCTAACCCCAGCCCAGGTAGACTACAGGGGACAGTGAGGCAGGCAGGCAGACGGTGGGCACCAGAGGAACACATGGAGGTGGTGAGGACAGCGCAAAGAGCAGACGCTTTGAATGGGACAGCCCCAGGCCTGCACTCTGCTGGGAGGGCAAATCCCCCACCCTCTCTGTGCCTCAGTCTTTCATCCACCATGTGAGGACGAGGCAGTTTTCACTCCCCAGGCTGACGGAATAAAATGCAGGAACACCAGTGCTTGGCAGCACGCAGGAGACTCTAGAGAGTAGGGAGCTCCCTGACTCACCTCTCCATCCACCTTCATGTACACAGTGGGCACCACCTTCACAAAGTACTGGAACATCATGGAGGCTGAGGGGAAAACAAAGCACTGGGTACAGGTGCCCGGCAGGCCTTCTGTGGCTGGGGGCTGCCTCCCGGGCTGGTACCTTGGGGTGCAGTGACATTGGTGTGGTCCAGGGGGTTCACAATGCCTGGATAGTCCTCCCCAAATGACAGGTGCTGGATGTAGTGGGTCATGTTGATCTGCAAACAACACCATCCAGAGCTCATCCAAAGCTCTGATGACAGTAGCAGACAGGGACACCTGGGTCTGTCTGTGGAGATGTGGGAGAAAGGGGAGGCTATGGCCCTAAGGGGACAACCTCCCTGGGACAGGTATCCCCCACTCCTCACCTAGAAACTCCTCTTTCCACAGCCTGCAAACTCCTGGGGTTCCAGAATTTTTTTTTTTTTTTTTTTTTTTTTTTTGAGACAAAGTCTTACTCTGTTGCCCAGGCTGGAGAGCAGTGGCGTGATCTGGGCTCACTGCCTCTGCCTCCTGGGTTCAAGCAATTCTCTTGCCTCAGCCTCCTGAGTAGCTGTTACAGGCGTGCGCTGCCATGCCCAGCTAATCTTTGTATTTTTAGTAGAGATGGGGGTTTCACCAAGTTGGCCAGGCTGGTCTCGAACTCCCGACCTCAGGTGATCCACCTGCCTCAGACTCCCAAAGTGCTGGGATTATAGGCATGAGCCACTATGGCTGGCCAGGTTTCAGATTTCTTAAAATACCAGCTTCACTCATACGTTAGGCACACACAGAGTGGCAGGTGCTGGTTTTGCCTGGAGGTCCAGGCTATGGAGGCTGAAGCTGGAGGCTGTGAGCCCCCAGATGCACTCCCTTCTTGCTCCCCTGTGTATCCAACTCAGTCACTGGAAGGATCTTTCAGAAAATGCAAGTCTGATGACGTCATGACTCTGCTTAAAGAAGGCCAACACCTTTCCACTGTTCTCAGGAGAAAGATGTGACTCCTCAGCGTGGCCTCTGAGTCCTGTGTGGTCTGGTCTCTGCTGACTTCTCCAGCCTCACCCATCCACACCTGCCCTGCAGTTCCTTAGAAGGGCCACGATCCCACCTGACCTTGTGCTGAGGTCTGTCTGTCTAGCATGTTCTTATCCAACCCCAATCTTGCCCCTAGCCTGCTCAGAGCTCAGTTCAAAAGTCACTCTCACTTAACCCTCAGGCTGGATCCCCATTCAGAACATGGTGTATTTTTCTATAAGCATTCCCTGATCCCAGGATGTTCCTACAAGGAAATGAAGGCAGCAACCAAGCCTCCCACCCCCACCTGCCCTCCATGGTTTCCATCTAGTACGTACGTTGTCAAGGCCAAAGCTCTGCAAGTCATGGACTAGGAGAGAAGGGAGAAGGTGTCATTAGTAGGAGCAGCATTGGCCTCCTCACTCCTCCCTCTAGACTGCAAACCACCTGTCTTCTCTGACCCCTCACTCCTTCTCCAGCCTGGCCCCTCCTGGTCCTGCTTAAGGACGGCCGGAAAGGACAAGCCTTGGGCCTGTGTGAGAGTTCATGCCCTCCTCAAGAGTCATAAGAACAGACCCTGGTTCCTCCCTGACATCCACAGGGAACTCTAGGCCTTCACTCCCAGCATGGCCCTGCCTGCATCTCCAAAAACAAAACCCACTGACTATGGGCTCTCACTAACTGGAGCTGATGGCAAATCACTGAACCTCAAAGTGAGGTGGGACCCGAGAATGCCATCCACACGTTCCCTGCCTCCACCCTCAAAGGTCCCCAGAGGAAATCCCATGGGGACCCTGTACCAACTGTTCCAGAACAAGTTACTCCTGCCCTCTAGCCTCAATCCCTCCTGCTGCAAGGAACCATACTTCAAAGATACATCCCAGTCCTTTTTATAGTCACCCAGCAGCCAGGTCAGAGAAGACCCAATCACAGACCCATCCAACCTCCCCGCATCCCGGTAGGGCACGCTGCCCCAGAAGTGGGGGCTTGGCCTCCCTGGGGGGCGGGGCCACTTACTCTCCACAGCATGTACTGCAGCATGGGGGAGGGGGGAGGGGGAGAGAGAAGACAGATTCAGAGCTTCACAATGAGAACTATGGAGCAAGACATGTGGCAGGAAGGAAGACAGGAACATTCTGCCTCAGCAACACAGTCTGGCCCCAGCTAACAAGCCTCCGCCTGGGCCCCTCCTCGAGAGTGAACTAATCTGGCCAGAGAGGAGCAGGAGACAGAGTGGCCTAGGAAGGACAAGAGGCCTAGAGCCCAAGGATCCAAGTTCCTGACTGTATGGCCTTGGGCAAATCACTTGCCCTTTCTGGGCCTCAGTGTTCTCCTTTGCAAAGGGCTGTCCTAAGGATCAGGTGGGATCTAAGATGGAAAAATACTTGTAAACTTTACACTGTAAGAGATTATTACCCACCCCGGCCCCAATCAACAAGGATATTAGAAACTCACTCCCAGGCCTCAATTCAAATATCTCTGGCCTTAGGCAACTGTAGCTTTGTGTTTATACATCCTTCCAGGTACAGAGCACCCCTGGCCCTGGGATCCACAAGTCTAACAGTCCCAGGCCGAGAGGCTGCCATTCTGGCTCTGTGTCCTACTGAGTGCCTGCCAGGCCTTGTGCCAACAGCTTGACACTGATCATCTTCCTATCATCCCAGCAAGACCCTTTTCTCCCAGCTTCCTCCAAAGTGAAGAGGGGGTTCCAGAGCTCTACAGGGTCCTCCAGCCCCCACCCCCACAGACTGCCCTGAAGACCAGCAGAGCTACCCTCCTGTTCACCTCAACCACTTTGAGAGGCCATCTTCACAGCCTGGGCTCTGTCACCACATGGCTCTGTCCAAGCTTTACTGTGACCCCAACTCCCACCTTCCCCAGCCCTGCCTTCAACCCCTGGGTTCCTCTTCACTTTCTTGCTTCAGCCGGGCTCTTCCTTCCAGGCACTAACTCCTTGGCATCCCCTCAACGTGCGACT